TATTTTTTTTGCTATAAGTGATGTTTAGAGAACTGGTGTGGCTGTGCATTTTAGTTTTGTTCTCAAAAATTGGTTACCTGATACACCATTGCTTGAGTCAATATAATGATAAGCCGCATCTTCAAATTGTTCAAGTGGGCGATTTTTGTGGAAATACGCCATGATTTTTTTTCAAGTACCAGTAAGACATTCATGTGTTAATGTGCTATTAAGAAACTTTCTTAAGTTAAGAAACAATACTAAAGAGCAGTTCATGTAAAGATATGTTCTTTGGAACAAGGGTTGTTTATCTCTATATTTCTCTGCATTTCTAATCATTAGTAATATAAATTATTATCCTCATCTGTAGTATTAAATCAATAAGCATAATTAGCTTTTAAAAATTGTTGGAAGTTATCTGGTAAAAGTTTGGAAATCTGTTACATTAAAAATATTTATGACTTTCGAGAAATTACCAAAAGAATACAGACTCTATTCTTTACTGTGATTTATTTAATCAAAATAAATAAAAATTAAGAACCATTATAGTTTTTTTTTTTAATGCCACAACTTAAAACAGACATTTTATACTTAAATTTATTTTATAATGTAGTGTTAGCCACCATTTTTTAACATGCATAATAGTTCAGATGCTCCGAGAATTATATCTGGAAATTAGGTCCTATAAGTTGTGCAGCAATTTTTTAAAATTATGTGAGTAAGTTGCAGATGGTTCAAAATATAACAAAAACAAAAAAATTTGAAAAAAAAATTTTTTTTTTTTCTTTCTTGCTTTAATTTAACAATTGCAGTAATATTTTAACTTAATTACCTAGGAAAATAAAGAATAAGTTGTTTGTAGGATTTTTAGACTTAAAAAAGGCGAAATTATGTGGGACAAAAAAAATGTCAGAAGTTTTCCTGTTTAAGATAACATTCCGCAGGAAAGTAAAAATTATGCAAGTAAATGTTAATTATATGGTTTTCTGCATCTTTGCACAATTTGTAGAGCCTTACACATAGTTGATTATGATTTTTTTTTTACGTGAACTAATTTTTTACCCAATGTCGAATGAAAGGTATGGTAACTTTCCATTTATGTCCCTGCTATCTATCAGTTGCAGAAACTTAGATCTCTTCTCCCCCCCCCCCCCCC